AAACTAGAACTAGAACTAAACCAGGACTAAACCAGGACTAAACTAGAACTAAACCAGGACTAAACCAGGAACTAAACTAGAAACTAAACCAGGACTAAACTAGAACTAAACCAGGTCTAAACCAGGACTAAAACTAGGACTAAACCAGGACTAACCAGGACTAAAAGACTAAAACTAAACCAGGACTAAACCAGGTCTAAACCAGGACTAAACTAGAACTAACCACTAAACCAGGACTAAACCAGGACTAAACTAGAACTAAACAGGACTAAACTAGAACTAAACCAAGGTCTAAACCAGGACTAAACTAGAACTAAACCAGGAAAAACAGAACTAAACAGAATAAAACCAAGAAAACTAGAACTAAACCAGGACTAAACCGGAATTGTTTGTTGGGACTGGCCAAAAGGTGCGCCCGCGTAGACTGTCACGTGACTGCAGACAAAAGAACCACGCCACAGCCGGGGCTCCATGCTGCATGGGCTCAATGCAGCTCTCAAGTCCAAGATTAGTCCTGGTTTAGTCCTGGTTTAGTCCTGGTTTAGACCTGGTTTAGTCCTGGTTCAGTCCTGGTTTTGTTTAGTCCTGGTTTAGACCTGGTGTCAGAATATTCATTTATCCCAATTTGCTAATACTTGTGTGAATTCTAGGCCTATGAGTGAACCATTTATGTACTACAATTCTTTGATTTATAATGAACCAATCACTTGTCACTTGTTGAATAACTCTGTGTGTTTGACAACTGTGTGCAGTGTCCTGTCGCTCTAGTGAACCTCCAGTGATTCCTCACATGAAGCCAACTCCCACTGTCACACATGAAGAGTTATGATGGTGTCTGACCTAAGGCGCCTCTGATTGTTAATCATGTTTATGTGTTTGTACTATGCATAGTGCATCAGTTCTTATTATGTCTTGCTGTTTCCCCTTGAGGATTATCCTTACTGTAACTAGTTCCTCCTAATGAATAAAAAGAGGAGAACAGCCTGATCATCAGAACGTGTGGAGACTGTTGGTTTTGATGCCCACTGCCCGTTCTCCTCATGAGTAAAACTGAATTAATCTCTTGTCTTTCTTCTTGTTTACAATGTTTAGATAAACCTAACACTGGTTTAGTCCTGGTTTAGTTCGTTTAGTCCTAGTCCTGGTTTAGTCCTGTTTAGTCCTGGTTTAGTTCTGGTTTAGTTTAGTCCTGGTTTTAGACCTGGTCTGGTTTACCTGGTTTAGACCTGGTTTAGACCTGGTTTAGACCTGGTTTAGACCTGGTTTAGACCTGGTTTAGACCTGGTTTAGACCTGGTTTAGAACTCAGACAGTTTTTACTTTGATTCTGCCTGGAAACAAGTGACGCTGAAACGTGACGTCCAAGTTTTCCTGTTTCCTCATGTGGAAAGTTTCGTGACGATCGATGTTGATGTTTTGTCTTGAAAAAGGAAAAGGGGCAGAGAACAGAAGATCTTTTCTTCTTTCTGCTCCTTTTCATTCATTTCTTGTGTGTTTGATGTTGTGACACTGTTGATGTCTTTTTATGCTTCATGAAGGAAATAAATAAATAAATAAATAAAAAAAATGCTTTACCATGAAAATCCATGTGTGGAAGCAGCACAAACATCAGAAAAACAAGAAAAGGAAGAGAACAGAGCATTTGGATTTATTTAATAATCATATAATAATTATTATTATGTAATAATATGGATTTAATATAATAATTATAATTATATAATATAATTATTATTTAATAATAATATAATAATAATAATTATTTAATAATAATAATATAATGAACATCAGTCTGGGATTTGGAGATATTTTGAGGCCAGTAGAGAAGCACATGCAGCCCTGATGTCAAACACTGACTTTGATATTATCTAAAGATACGAGTTAAGAGTTAAGATAAGAAGCAAGTTACGCTTGTTTATGTTTGTAAAAAACGATGTGTTTCGAGGCGGGAGAAAGTAACTATTTACAGTCAAACATAAGAATTGTTTCAGGAACAATTTTTGTTTCCGCTCAAATTTCCAGTGCATTTTAAACTGAACAGAAATGACATGTTACCACTGAATTTCTCACTTTGAAAAAGCATGTTTGAATTATTTATATTCTGAAGTTCAATTGCTGAATTTTTTATTTATCAAAATAGAAAATTCACTTTTTTTTTTTACTATGTTTATTATAATTTTAAGATATACAAAATATATTCAGAGACAGAAAAATTTGAAATTAAAATAAAAAAAATATATAAAAAACAAAACAAACAAACAAACAAAAAAGAACAAAACAAAACACCTGCACAGAAAATATACATGTTCATACATAAAAACAAAACACATACAACAACAAGAACAACTGTATATAAATACACATACACTTAATATTCTCTCAATATTCACCTACGATTAAAATGGTCAATAAAAAGTTGCCATGTTGTGTCAAAAAGTTCTTGTTTGTTCCTCAGTAAGACTTATATTATATTATATTATATTATATTATATTATATTATATTATATCTGTGAAGAGTTTGATGGGTTGGGGCTTTTTTTTTCTGCTTTTCCAGTGAAGTGAACTCAGGTCCCTGACCAACTGTGCGACAAAACTCAGGACATTCTTTTATTTACTGGTTAAACTCACAGCCCAGAAAGTGCCAGAGTCTGGGAGTCACTGGAAGCTGCGTCTTTAAGACTCACTGAAAGAGTTTCAAACGTCCTTGTCCAGTACAGATTAGGGTTTGGACATTGGGACAAAGAGGCAGGACAATATCCACATGGTTCACAGGACGACTTCACCCCTGGAAACATTCATCCTCATTATACTGATACGAGCAGTGACAGAGATCAGGACGCTGCTCAGTCTTAAACTGTTAATCCGTTTGTTGGTGTAGGATCCCAAAATGTAACTTGAAGAGTCCCGACATCTCACCTGTAATATTTCAATGTCTCAATGTATCGGAAACTCTTTGAGACGGCAAAGGGAGAAGATCCAACAGATGTGAGTCTTTTGGAGCCAGTTGGAAATAGTATAATCTCTGATATCTTAATTTTGTATCCTGACATCTTCCCAAAATCAGACAGTCTGGTCATTATCTGTGGTCTGAAATATATAAAAGTAGGTCACCTGCATGTAAAAACACCTTGTGCTCTGTCTCCCCCCTCAGAATCCCCCTGTAACCTCCTGCAGAGGGCAACGATACCACAAGAGGTTCTATAACTAACAAATTACAAGGGTGATGATGGACAGTCCTGTGTTGAACGATACAGAGGAAAAGAACTCGAGCTCAGGTTATTTGTTTGGACTGTTGCTTTGGTCGGGCATAGAGCAACTTCACAAAAGAAATATAATTGGGGCCAAATCCAAACCTCGACAGGGCAGAGAAAAGAAAATCACATTCGACCCTGTCAAAGGCTCAGCGTCCAGTGAGAGTAGAACCTCTGGTGTTTGATTATTGAAGGATAAATAATATTGAACAATCTTCTAATGATAAAAAATAGTTGTGGGTTTTTAATTAATCCAATTTGGTCTGGAGACACGACCGCTGGGAGAACCTCCTCCAAACGTCTGGCTACAATTTTTGCCAATATTTAGTTGTGTAGGTTTAAGAGAGTCTGGGTGTGTCAGACTCTGGTTTAGTCGGGTCCTTGTCCGACTCGTGACTCAAAGATATTTGCATCAGATAAAGCAGGTTGGAAGAAACAGTGGAAAAGGTTCATTATCAACATTGAACTAAAGAGGAGTGAGTTTCTCACTGAATGTTTTGTAGAACTCGTCCGGGCCAGGGCTTTTTGAACTTTGTAAACTGTTAGTTGCCAGTTTTACTTCTTCTTTTGAAATAGGTTCCTCCAACAATCGTTTGTTTTCTAAGCTTCTGGTCGGCACTTGAATATTGGCAAAAAATTGGTCTTTTATCTTTGGGTTGTGTTCAGATTCTGAAGAATAAAGTTTAGAGTAAAAATGTTGAAATGTTTTATTAATTACTCTGGGTTCTGTATCAGTTTGTATTTCTGTTATTAGTCTTGATGCAGCTTCCTCTTTAATTTGCTGGGCCAACAATTTGCCAGGCTTTTCCCCATATTCATAATGTCTGTGTTTAAGTTGTGTCAGTAATTTTGTAGTTTCTGTTGGATAAAGTAAATTCAATTCCATTTGTAGAGTTTTTTGTTCTAAGGATCAGAGGCTGTAGGGCAGCTGGTAAAACCTGATCAACCTCCAGAAGCTCTTGACTTATTTTTGATTCTGTTACGGCCCAGGCCTTAGTTCTAATATTTCTGCAGAGTTCTCTTGATTCCTGCTGCAGGAGCCCTGGTCCGTGATTGGTGGGGCAGGTCGACGCCCACCTCACCTGCAGCCACGCCCCCTATTTCAGGAGACGACCAGCACCTGTTCGGGGCTGCTGGTCTTGGTGGTCAGTCTGACATTTTGTTTCGTGTTTGTGTAGTTTAGTCTAGTTCTGTTTTGTGTCTTTTTTGATTTGGTCACTCGATTCTGTTTGTGAGTTTATGTGGTTCAATTTGTTGAACTTGTGTTTTAGGTTTCGTCTGTGTCCCTAAGTTTTACCACTCGTTTTTTGTGTAAGTCTGCGTGACCCTTTTGTGGCACGAAACTCTGTTTATTCTGTTGTTCTGTTTCTTAGTTTAGGTTGTTTTCTGTATATTTTAGTTTCTTTTGTTCATTTACCTTTACATTCCTGTTAATTAAACATGATTTAATTTATTCCCTTTTACATCTTGGTTTTATTTTTGTTACTTCCCTCACCACAAACGAGCTGCGTCCTAACAGCCTCCTTCAGTGCAGAATAGTGACGTTTGTGTCTTGTTGATGACGTGTAGGTGGATGAATGTGACCTGACTGTTCACACTCAAGTCACATGTTAAAGATCAGATATGGATCAGTTTCAGGAGCACAGATCCAAGTGTCCTGGTCACATGTGAAAACATCACATCTGTGTGGTTCAGACGTCATGAAAAGATCAGATACAGAAACATAGAGACAAAACATCAGATTTGGGAAACTTCAGGTGCAGAGTGAACGTCGCCATAATTACAAGGCGACTTTATCTCTATAAAACTATCATTGACAATTTGAAACAAAACAAATCCTCCATACAACCTTTAAATTTAGAAGTATCATTTGGAAACTTTTTCTGTAGTTTACTCAAATAAATGTAAGAAAAAAATTTCATAGAGAACAGCTAAAGGAAACATATTTTGAAAAATAACAAAGCTGTTTTAATTTGCATATTATGTCATTCTGGAATGGTCTCTATGGCGATGGATGGATGGATGGATGGTCTCTATGGCGATGGATGGATGGATGGATGGATGGATGGATGGATGGTCTCTATGGCGATGGATGGATGGATGGATGGATGGTCTCTATGGCGATGGATGGATGGATGGATGGTCTCTATGGCGATGGATGGATGGATGGATGGATGGATGGATGGTCTCTATGGCGATGGATGGATGGATGGCGATGGATGGCGATGGATGGATGGATGGTCTCTATGGCGATGGATGACATGTAAAGTACTTTGTCTCTTTGCTCCACTTCTTCAGTTCATTTCCAGGTGACGCAGCAGAGGACAGACGTACTTTTTGTCAGGGAGACACAACTCAACAAACAAGGCTTAAAATCTGCTAGGTTTTTTCATGTGAATCCTGGTGTGTGAAGTGGTGGCAATTTACTAGAAAAGTTTCAAACATCAGCTGACGCCAGTACACTTCAAAACCAGACTTTCACCTGTCTGTGGGTGCACTTGTGTGAGTGGGAAAACTCATTTAGTGTCTGTCATTGCTTGTGCAGGGAGCCAACCCCAGAATCTGGAAATGAGTTCTGGTTTATCGGCGTCGGAAGAGGATCTGGGGGGGAGTTTGTTTGTTTTAATGGACGAAGAGGATCGGGAGACGGGTCGGCGGGTCTCAGGGGCGGATGCGAGTGCTTCAGAGGAGGACGAGTATACTGTCCTGACTGTTGCCGAGAATAAGCTGACAATACCACGACAGTACGAATTCATAAATCATATCGGCAACGGAGCCTTCAGTCAAGTGGTGGAGTGTCAGAACAGAGACACTCGGGAAGCGGTGGTGGCTAAACTTCCCACCTTCAAGCAAGACACGAGGAAGGAGGTAAGTCCAGGTTTGAATATTATAAGTGCACATGACAGGATATATGATATTTCATGATGTTCTAATGATGACTGTACTTTTTGGACTATAAGTCACACCAGCCAAAAAATGAAGAAAAAAACATAAAAGTCGCACTTTTGGGGGGAAATTAATTTTATAGAATCAGACACCAGGAACCGACATTTCATCTTGAAAGTCAAGTTCTAGTAAAAACAATAGAACAGAGAACAACAGACTGTTAATGTCACATATGCACAGTTCTTCAGATAAACTATAGCAGAACAAGTTGATCAAACTCTCCATCTCACTCCAAATCACTAAATCCATTCAATTCTTCATCCTCGGTGTCACTTCTGAGAAACTCCGTGACCTCCAGAGGTAAACGGAGCGCCGCTACTATCCTCAGACTCCACATTCAATTCCAGTTTGAATTATTCTGGCCCGTCTGAATCCACCAGTGACAGGATGGTTTCGGTTCTCATTGAAGTCATTTTCCGGGATATTGGACGCCTCCAACCCCATCAAAAAACGACTGCGCGCCCCACAATCCCGAGCGCCCTGTGCACCAATCCACTCCCAGCACGACTCGCTGCACAACCCGCAGCGCACGCAAACACGCACGCAGCAGACAGCGACCGCACGGCCAAACACACCCGCAGACACACTCAGACCCACGCAGATGAGGAACGGAACGGAGGAACCAACTGGAAAAGCGAGTGCCGCTCTGAGCCACAACTGAACGACTGAGTCACTGCGAACACGCCGACAATCCGCTGGTCCCAGACACTACTCCCTACACGCCACAACTGAACAAAGCCCAGAGTCACCGTGAACAAACAAAACCACTCACACATCACACTGTTGGGTTTCCTTTAAAGTCCCACGCAGTTTATTTGTGAAAAAAGTTTGAAAATAGAACGTTTAATGACGAATTATAATCCAGAGCGAATAATATTGTGGAAAATATTGTAAATTAAAAATGTTCAGTGGTACAGAACAGGACAGCGGCTCTTTCTGCAGGAGACATGTGCAGTAGAGCCAAGAGACAGTGGTACCGGAGTAATAGTAGTAGCAGACAAGCCTAGAGCGCCCTCTTGAGGCTGTCAGTGTGAAAATGTGAACATATAAGTCGCAGGAAACAGCCAAACCATGAAAAAAAGTGCAACTTATAGTCCAAAAAATACAGTACTTATTTGGTGGGAGTAGTAGTACATGTTATAAATATTTATTCTAGTTTTGTGTGGTGGGAAGAAAAGTACAGAAATACTTTTTTGATCTAATTGTAACTATTATGCAATTTAGAGGTTTTCTTACCATTATGTTTGATGGGGAACAGTTCTGCAGTTTCCTGTGTGTTTGTCATACGTGTTCATGTCCAACTAGGAAGTAAAAGGATAAACTTGACCAAAATGAAAACAGAAATACTAAAAATCTGAATAATTGAAGAAAACTAGTCAAGAATGTTAGTAAAATGTCCAAAAAATGGTCAGATGTAACTCCTCTTCTTGTGTGTGCAGGTTCGTACACTGCGCCGCCTGATGGAGCAGGGGGCGGACCAGAGCAACATAGTGAAGTTCTTCGGGTCTTTTGAAACTCCTTTCGGCAAAGGCATGATCTTTGAAAAGCTGGACATGAGTATAGGGACGTTTTGGTGGAGGCATCACCCTTTGCCCCTCTCAGATATTCGCACCATTATCCAACAGGTGAAACAGTGCAAAGTGTTTTTGTCTAAGTGCACAAAAAATGTTCAAATGACTTTACAGGTTTTATACCGATTTAAGTTATACATGTCGTGATGTAATATACTTCCAGTCAAAAGTTTGTACACGGACTTTTCTCATTCGGGACTTCCTTGGTGTTTCCCTTGGTGTTTCCCGTGTTTCCCTTGACGTTTCCCTTGCGTTTCCCTTGGCGTTTCCCTTGACGTTTCCCTTGGTGTTTCCCTTGACGTTTCCCCTGGCGTTTCCCTTGGCGTTTCCCCTTGGTGTTTCCCTTGACGTTTCCTTGACGTTTCCCTTGACGTTTCCCTTGGCGTTTCCCTTGTTTCCCTTGACGTTTCCCTTGGCGTTTCCCTTGACGTTTCCCTTGACGTTTCCCTTGACGTTTCCCTTGACGTTTCCCTTGATGTTTCCCTTGGTGTTTCCCTTGACGTTTCCCTTGAGTTTCCCTTGTTTCCCTTGACGTTTCCCTTGACGTTTCCCTTGACGTTTCCCTTGACGTTTCCCTTGACGTTTCCCTTGATGTTTCCCTTGGTGTTTCCCTTGGTGTTTCCCTTGGTGTTTCCCTTGGTGAGACTATTTTTCCATGTCCCAAAACTCTACACTTAACCAAATGAATCGTTCTAATCCTAATTCTAACCTTAACTTGAGAGTCAAAAATGTGACTTTACATGTGCTACAAAAACATGAGAATAAAATGTATACGAGATTATGTCACAAAGAACAAAAAGTATGTTAGTAAATAGTGTAAGACGAGGGACGTAACAATAACCAAAATATCCTGATGTGGTATCGTCAAAGTTCTCAGTAATATCGTGGACCATCTCAATATATCGAATTACAAATCTCTTTGCTTAAATTCATTGTTACGGTGCAGCCATAGTTCAAAACAAAAGACAGTGGGAACTACATGGACCATGATCCTTTGCTCCATTTCAGTGCAGACGACAAGAAGAAATAACAGTTCAAACACTTTCAAGTCTTAGTTCTTTGGATGAAGTCTGAGTTTTAGCTGTTTAGCCTCCACAGATATCGCAGTAAATATCGTACTGTGACGATATCGTATCGTGAGACTTGGATATCGTTACACTCCTATATAAGACTGTAAATATATAAGACTATATTTGTATTCTATTTTAGATTTAGATGCCTCAAAGTATAGTCAACTTTTGACTGGTGTATGTAATATCAATATAAAGTCGTGGTAAAATCAGATCATCGTGTGGCTCAAAAGTCTCGCCCGTATCCAGACTGGTTCTACGTTTATTTCCCATTCATTTCATCTTGCTGTTATTGTTATTTTTGAAATGATCTGGAAAACTTTGGCTGTTTGAAACTGTTTTAAATGTGCTATACAAATACATTTGATTTGATTTGATTTCCTCACAGAATTACAAAAGAAAAAACAAAAACAGATTTAAAATAACAATATACTAGTAGGTGTTGTCATCATTACTTAGCTGATTCGTGCCAGATTACTTTACCAGATTAAAGTCTACAGAAAAATGAATGGGAAATGAAAGATAATGATAAATAAATCTCAAACTTTCTATCTAATTGTTTGTGTTGTAACATTGTGCAGGTGGCTACAGCTTTGGAGGAGATGTGCTTAATCCACACGGATCTTCACATGGGAAATATCATGATCTGTGATCATAACCTGAGGCCTTTGACTCTCAAAGTCATTGACTTTGGTTTGGCCGTGTCCACAGCCGAGGTCACAACAGACATGAACATCCAGCCTGTCGGCGTCAAGTTAGATATGAGACTGTTTATGTGATGAAGGGGAGACACACAAAAGCACATGGTTTATTATTTCATTTAAGTTGCTTTCATAGATTTACACACAAACATCAGTTTGACCTAAACGCACGGCTGTAAGTTGCACCAAACTTTCTAATAGAATTTTGTCTATTTTTTTGTATCTAATCTGACAAAATTTAAACCTGGTTCTGCCCATTTACAGATCGACATGTCCCAAATATGTGCAACGTTGGCAATTTTGACACATAAAATGCCTTATTTCTAAATGTTTTTTTTCTACTACAGAAAAGGTTTCTAAATGACATCTCCAGATTTCAGATGATTTTCCTGTGGCCTGCAGTGTCTTGCCTTAATAACCTCGACCTTGTACATTTGAAGTTCATGTGTTTGTTCTTCCCTCAGGCTCCAGAAGTGATTCTGGGGATGAAGGTCAGTGAAGCTGTGGATGTGTGGAGCCTGGCAAACCTGTTTGCCCTAATGTTGATACAGCGGATATATTCCCTGACACAGATGCACATCAAATAGTAAGTCACCGACACAGCGGTGGGAGGGACGAACAGAAATGAATAAGTTGATTTTTGCATTATCTTGAGAACAATATTCAGACATTATTTTAAAGAGGGGACATTCCACTGCTAACAGGTAACATGTTTAGATCACCGTGTTCCCCTTTATTGTTTTGGATATGCTCAGGTTTGTCAAGTTGTAGTGTTTCATTAGCTCGATTCATCAGCCGCTTTCACTTGGTGGAAACTGTCTGACCTCATTAGAATTCGTTCACTCGACAATAGGCTCATACTTTTTTCATTTAACCGATCGCTCCTATTTGGTGGTGACGTATGTAATGCGCCGATAACGGGACAAACTGGTGTATTAAGCTTTTCCCAGATCCCGTAGGAAGAAGGACAATAACATCTTTCCCTTTGATAAAATTCACCAAACATTCTCTTTGTTCCGGCTTTAAATCCTCCATCTCGGGAATCGTCGCCGACTCTGAACGTACGGCTCTTCGCTGATTGGCTGGTGCCCGAACTCGCACTTCTGCAGTTCTTGCAAACTGGCTAGTGTATTTTGATTCCTGACCTAGTCGCTGGAGAGAAATGAAATTGAGAGGAGGCACTAGGTGGCGCCAGACTGTCTAGTGTTTTGTATCTTGCTGCTGTATATTTGAGCTGTGAGCTCAGCATTGGACAGAATCTTACTTACGAACTTTAAGAAGGGCTCAAATAGTGCCTGGAAGAGAGATCACTAAATTACTCAAACACGCACGGATGACATTTAAAACCTCTTTGGGCTTTTTTTTTTTTTTGATGAGGGAATGTTATAACATGGTAAAAAGCTCCACAAAGTCGACTTTTCACGATACCTCCTCTTTAACGATGCATTTTGCTTTTCTATTTTTTTACATACACGTCCCACCTCAGTGTAACAGTAAATCATCTGAATAAACCTTATCTAACGTTTGTTTCTCTTCTAAAGTTGACTGTTATAGTGAAACTCTTCGGCAAACCATCTGCCTCCTTCCTCAACAAAGGAGCTAAGACATTTGTGCACTTTAAACTCATTGGCCAAAACTGGACACTTAGGGTAAATACTGAGTTTATCTTGATGGATTCAAAACTATCATGACCTCATCTTATATGTCAAATAAACTACCAGTCCTCAAGATTGGCCCATTTTCAAAAATAGAGAAGAAACATAAATGAAAAAGTGTGTCCAAACGTTCAGCTGGTCGTGTATATTATTAAAACGTGTGATTTGAACTTTCAAAATCTTTTCAGTTTGCAAACTTCTTTCCAACGCGCTTGACTGAAAAGTACACTTCACTCCGTCATGTGGTAGAGGTAAGCGATAGAGCGAAAACGAAACATGGACGTTAAAGGTGAAAATGTGAAAACTAATCTGTGGATGACTTGTTTCTAGGGCGAGTTGAAGTTGTGGAGCCTGGAGGACGACAGAGACACAGAAGCAGCCACACTGTTGCTCGGCCGAATGCTGCAAGTCGACCACGACAAAAGAATTACACCGTCTGAAATCCTCCAGTCAGCTTTGACTTGATCATAACTACTAGGGATGTAACGATATCCAAACCTCTCGATACGATATTCTCACGATAACTGAAATATCGTGACAATATCGTATCGTCAAAGTTCTCACAATAATATCCTGGACCATCACAATATGTCAAATGACAAGTGTCTTTGCTTCAGTTTAAAGTTCTGGTGCAGCAGGAGCTAAAAAAAAACTACATAGACCATGATCCTTTGCTCCATTTCAGTTTAGACTCGAAGAGGAAATAAGTTCACATTTCTAAGCACTTTGAAGTTTTCCTTCTTTGGATTAAGTCTCGTCAAGACAATTTAAGAGGAAAAAGGAGAATATTTACAGTTTTGTTCGCGCCACAAAATATCACAATAAATATCGTACCGTGACAATATCGTATCGTGAGATTTGGGTATCGTTACACCCCTACGGTACGATATTTATTGCGATATTTTCCTCTCATTTAAAAGTGCATCATAACAGTTATTTCAGCGTGTTGATTGGACTGAAACAGAGCAAAGGATCATGGTCTATGTAGTTTTTAGCTGCTGCTGCAGCTGAACCAAGACAATGAATTCAAGCAGAGACACTTGAGATTCGATATATTGCGACAACTCACGATATTATTGTGAGACTTTTGACGATACGATATCACCGTGTTTCAATTGTTGTTACATCCCTAATAACTGCACCTTAACTAGTCTTAATATAGAATGAACAAAGAGCATCATATGACAGATTAGACTTTTTTTTTTTAGAAGATTTTACTCAAATTCTTGCCATTTTATTTTATTTTTTTCTATTTACTGCATATATTTTGTAATTTGACTTCCTGGTCAGACACAGAAAGTTAATATGACACAAACTTTAATATAAACAAAGGCTAAAACTGTGTAAATGATAAATCATAATTACGATGGCAACACTTTTATTTAGCAAGATGAAGGTTTAAACAGCTAGAAATCCTCACTTTTTCAACTGTATTTTCACTTTTAGAGTTGTCGACGTGACTTTACACAATATTAGTCGCTATATTTGATAACATGAGCTGTTTTTTTGTCATTACAGTGAGAATCCTTCAGTGAGAAAACTTTATATCCCCACAGAGAACCAGGAGGATGAAGGGTAAGAAAAATCTGCGTATAATGATAAAAAACAAAAAAAAATAGACTAAAACATTTCAAGTTTATGTAACTGTCTTATTTCTTTCACAGAGACATATTCAACAAGCCACTGACCCGTGAGGGGATCAGTGCAGTTCTCCCAGAAGGATTCAAAGTCACCAACATCCTGGGGAACGGCAGGTTTGGTCAGATGTTCAACTGCAGACGAGGCGACACCGGGAAGAGTGTGACCATCAAGCTGCCGCATTCACACAACAAGACTCAGCGTGAGGTAAGTGTGACACCAAACTTTACACTTTTCGACCTTTAAATAGTTGGGAATAATAGTGTCGATGGCCATAGTTATTTATCCCGTCACTAAAAACAGACTTACCCACTCCACAAAGCACCAAAGCAAATCTAATAGAAGAGCAGACTTTGCATTGCATGAATCGTTGCATGTTGAGGGACTATTTTCTCATATATCAGTCCGCAGAATGTCAGTCCTGCTCCCGCAAATAATTGTCATTTTCATTCCCGCTCCGGCCCGCGTCTGCCATATTTTGTCCCGCTCCCGTCCACAAACCCTGCAAATTGGGAACTTTCACTTTCTTAAGCTCAATCAAACACGGAGAAGCAGAAAGGAATTGTCTAAAATGTGCGTGAGATTAGACGACATCCGCAAGTTTAGGCTGCTTAAAATGTTTTTATTAATGCCAAATAAAATATCGATGGCAAATGATGTACAATAGGCACACGTGAATCATTTGTATATTTGACACTCAGATTTAGTTTGTGCATTTGATAGATTTGCACTGATGCATTTTTAGATTGTAAAATGGATTTAAACGACACATTTTCAGCCACTTGTGATGAATTTAAGTGGTCGTTGTCACGTTTATGTGTCTGATTTTCAACAAAAAAAGAGAAAAGAAGAACTGTTGACTAGAACAGTGGACACAAAATGAACTCACGTGTTGTTGTACCAGAAAAGTCAGTCCTTTCTGCTTAGATTTTGTGCTAAGACAAAGTTCACAATCTATGTTAACGCTCCACTAACCTGTTTTTGATTTGTGTTTTTCTTCAAAATCAGGTCCAACTGCTGGAAACAACTGCAGAACAGGAGGCGGATCATCAAAATATAGTGACATTTATTGAAAAGTTGCCAACCGGCCGTGGGGAGGCTCTAGTTTTGGAGGAGCTCAGTATGAACTTAACTTCGTACATGAAACAACTCTCCCCACTGCCCATGAGTGACGTCCAGGCCGTTGTCCAGCAGGTAAGAACCGCTTCAACAAACATAGAATCTGACAGAGAATTTATTTGTGTTTTAATTGAACGTTACAACTTTTGCAGACGGCCACGGCTCTACAGACCCTGGAGTCCAAGGGGATAATCCATACGGGTGTTTCAATGGAAAACATCTGGCTGTGTCACCGTAGCAACGAGCCAATTAAGATCAAACTGGCCGATTTTGGAGCTTTTATGGAGCGGAAGAGGACGATACCGGACATGACGGCGCAACGTGTCCCCTACAGGTAAGAGTTAGTGTCACATGTGAAGAGCAGAGGCGGGGGGAGTCTCCACGAATGGTCCTGAAGTAAGAGCAACATGACTAGAACTATTTCCTTCATTATTTGTCTCAAAACCAAAATGAAAAAATGGATAACGATTGTTTTTTTCTGTTTTTTTCCATTTTGTGTTTAGATGAAGAATGGAAAAATGTTTCCCGATGTCGGACTTTTGTGCCGCTTACGGACTGAACCAGGACTGAACCAGGACTGAACCAGGACTAAAACCAGTCTCAGTCCTGGTCTGGCCACGGTCTCATTCCTGGTCTCAGTCTCGGTCTCAGTCCTGGTCTGGTCCTGGTCTCAATCCTGGTCCCGGTCTGGTCCCGGTCTCGGTCCAGATATGGTCCTGGTCTCAGTCCTGAACCAGGACTGAACCAGGACTGAACCAGGACTAAAACCAGTCTCAGTCCTGGTCTGGCCACGGTCTCATTCCTGGTCTCAGTCTCGGTCTCAGTCCTGGTCTGGTCCTGGTCTCAATCCTGGTCCCGGTCTGGTCCTGTCTCAGTCCTGAACCAGGACTGAACCAGGACTGAACCAGGACTAAAACCAGTCTCAGTCCTGGTCTGGCCACGGTCTCATTCCTGGTCTCAGTCTCGGTCTCAGTCCTGGTCTGGTCCTGGTCTCAATCCTGGTCCCGGTCTGGTCCTGGTCTCAGTCCTGAACCAGGACTGAACCAGGACTGAACCAGGAGTGTCGGGACGGGCTCGGAGTTGCGCCCGCGTAGACTGTAGGGTGATTAGGACTGAGACCCGAGACCAGACCGGGACTCAGAACAGGACCAGACCAGGATTGAGACCTGTTTTAGTCCTGGTTTAGTCCATATGCGGCGCAAAAGTCAAATTTATGAATTATGACTTAATGTAATTGGACAAATGATACACAGAATAGAACATTTCCAAAGAAAATCATGAAAAAAATGAAAATACAAAACAAATCGTAACTGAAGGTCAGTTGTAAGTAGCGCAGAAGTTCAAATTATTGAAGCTTTTTTACAACATAAAGTTTTCCAGTTGTGTTTCAGTTGTTCACAGGAAGAGGATCCATAAACTTCAAACTAAATATTACTCAAGTAAAATGAGTGCCCACCTCTGCACAATTGGAGATGAATGATGCTTTTATGAAGTGTGAACGTGCTTTTATGTGTGTCTCTATTTTGCGTTTGTTCCACACAGAGCTCCAGAAATCATCCTCGGACTCCCGTTCGACGAGGCCATAGACGTCTGGTCTCTGGGCACCATGTCGGTCACTTTGCTCACTGGGTTTGATCTGTTTCCCGACCGAACAGAATTTGAGACTGTAAGTACTAGAACTGTTGTTGTGAAGAAAACGTTCACACAGTCGTAAAAAATCCAAACATTTAACCACGTCTTGTATCTTTTGTTTCTTTAGCTGACGACTATAGTCAAAATATTGGGTCAACCTCCTGACCACGTCCTCAGTGAAGCGGTCAACACCCATGAGTATTTCAGTGCTGACGGGACCAGCTGGAAGATAAAGGTAAACAGCTTTTTATTTCACCAATTCATTCAAAGTCGTCACGGTAAATCACCTGGATTTTCTTTTGGATTAGACCACAGATCAGTTTGAAAGTTCTTCTAAACTGCCTCCGAATACGATCAAGGCCCATGAAACAGACGCCTTTGACTCTCTGGATGAAGTGATCGACGTATGATTTAACTTGAGCTCAACATTTCTTATGCTTCATTTGTGTTCACAGTTCTTATTTTGGAATGATTTACTCTTTTTCAGGCCAAAATTAGACACAGTTATGACAGCGCTGAGCTCGGTGCCTTTATTGACCTGGTGAAGGCGATGCTCTGTCTGGACGGGACTCAGAGGATCACTGCTGCTCAGACCCTGGAGCACGACTTTATCAGGTGAGTAGGAAATGCCACAACAAAACGATGCCAGAATCCAGTTTGGTGGGACGGTACCTGAGACAAATACTGTACGTGTCATAGTTTTACACCAGTGAAGGGGCTTAAAATGAGCGAGTCAACCAGAAGTCGAACACGGCTCTTGTTTTTTGTTTTGTATGAAAAGGGGCGGCGGCGGCGGCGGAGGCGGAGGCGGGGCGGCGGCGGCGGCGGCGGCGGAGGCGGCGGCGGAGGCGGCGGCGGAGGCGGCGGCGGCGGCGGCGGTGAAGGCGGCGGTGGCGGCGGCGGCAGCAGAAACAGTGCGGAGGAAAAGATCTAAAACAACAGTGATCACGGCTGAATCAAGTTCATCTGAAGCTCAGCGGCAGGTGAGCACCGCTTTGGTTGGTTTTTGGAGATTTATTTCGTGTTATAACGTTGTTCCCTCATCAAAAACAGCCTGACGTTTTATATGTTTGCTACACATGTTTGAGTCATCTAGCGATCTTTGCCCAGGCTCTACTCCTTAAATTTAAAAGCCACATTGGAAAAAACTAAATCTAGTCAAGTTACGATGACTTGAATTAAGAAAGTTTGATCATGATTTGAGTCAATTTCACTTTCAGAGTAAAATTACTGCCAGTGGAACAAGACTTTTTATACTTCAAATATAAAAATACATTTTGCTACACTTAAAAACAGGGGCCGACGGGGGCCGACGCCCCGGGGGCCGACGCCCCGGGGGCCGACGCTGTCGGCAGGTGA